TCTGTAGAAATAGAGGAATCTGCTCTGGGGAGGGCATATACACTGGGGTATATGTAATTGCAGCACGATACTGAACTGCATGATTATATTATCTAGGCATGACTAAGATAGTGGTGTGTACATGCAGTATTTATGTGCCTAACCATCAGACTTCTACTAATTTGGGAATCTCTTGATTATTCTGCTTAGTATACGTGTATCTCTTCATAATGTCCTCTAATTTTTATCAAGATGAGCTGTCCCATGTGCTAGTAGTTGTAAACAGGTCCCTCCCCCTTTCCAGGGTAGCCCTTTTACTGCCTTCAGTGTCCACAACAAAGTCGACTAAGGGCTGATTTGTTCATGTGCGATTTTTGGAATCCCTGTTAGGTTTAATTTTAACAAGTGACGTCGACATGGCCTTCAAACAGCAACATTTGACAGATGAAATGGTGACAAATGAGTCACATGAAGATGGGTTGAAACTGCGTCAGTGACACAGACAATTGCAACAATGATAGTAAAATAATGACAGTGGCATTGCCTCCTCCTCAAAAGCAAAATGTGTGGTTTTGAAATTTAAACTAGGGACATAACATTCCCCCCTTACCCCTTACAGTATCTACTGATACTGATGATGTATAGCCTCATCTCAACTAAACAGTTAATTGCTTAAATGGCCTCCTCCTCAAAAGGCAAAATCAACAGTTTTGACATTTAGACGAGGAACATATGTACCCCTCTTAAGAGGGACTCAATGTAGGACTTGCCTCATGCAACGGAATCCAACACGGTATTGGATTCTGGATTCCACACCGTGGATTCCTGATTCAAGGTACTGGATTCAGGATTCTTTGTGGGTGGAACCTGGATTCTGGATTCCTCTCTTAGTGTGATCCCAGATTCCTTGAGATATATTCTGGGTTCCAAAGACCAGGATTCTGGATTCCACATTAAAGCAGAATTTTCCTGGATTTCGGATCCCACAAGAAGAAATTTTCTGGATTACAGAATTCAGATTCCCTTACCCGGGGTGATAGGATGCAGTTAAGTACCTGTCCTTAGAGGTGTGTTTGGTTTGTTTGGGGAAGAGCCTAAGTATTAATTTCTGATCAGTAGACCTTCTGACATCTCTGAAAAGGAAGGGTGGCACCCTAACCTGGCATAACATTTTCTTTATTTTTAAGTAACACTTTAGCTTCTTCCCCAGATCTCAATTTTAAAGCCTCTGACAATGTGCAGGATTCATTGTTATTTCAGCTAAACTGGAAAACAAAGAAAAGCCTTATCAGAGTTATACACGTAAAATAACTAAAAAGTGGTTTTGGACCCTAGTTTATTTTTGATAAATCGAGGAAGTGTAAAAGGTGTTTGTAAGTTGAAAACAAATTATGAGCTGGTGTTTGTAAAAAAATGTCCAAGGAATTTGCACAATACCTTGTTTCAAAGTTCCCAGAAAATTTTTTTCTGTCAATGTGCTCTTATGTGGGGTAAATTACATAAAAACATGGTGACATCTTCATAAGAACTGTCACTGAACTCACTGGCCGGGGAATATATACTGCTAGGGTCAGCCTTCACTACCTGCTTTGAAAGGTATCTGCTTTATTAATATTATGGTTACAGACAGGCAAGTAAAGCATGTACCAATCAGTACCTGCCATCTAGTGATACGGATGATTTATAGCCTCATCTCAACTAAACAGGTTGCTAAAATGGAGGGAGATCAGGGTTCAGCAAATAATATATCATTTGTTACCAAACTGACAACTGCAAGACATTTGGGATATAGCCATAAGCAAATATTCTGTGCTAAAAAGGTGTATGTGATTTTAATGGACCAAGTGTCTGTTAATTTAACAGGGTACTCTGGTAGCTTAGACAGTTAATAAAATTGTCATCATTGTCATCGTCATGCATCAAGTATCGTGGTCGTCATCATCATCATCATCATCATCATCATCATCATTAAAGTTATCCGTGTCTACCATCGTCGTTTGGTTTGAAACGTGAATTAAATCCACAAAAGTCATATTTCTACAGTATTCTACCTACTAATTTCTCCCAACCTATATTATAGGCTAACGCTAAATGTTTTAGCTGTTGTATGTAGTTCAAATGTAATTGTTTTGAAGAGGATCTGTATTTTTTCTGGGAGTTTGTCGACCTTAGGTTGGTATTTAATGCTTACCATACGAGCATAGACAAAGTCAAGATGCGTGATAAATTATTATTTTAATTTGTAAAATCCTTTTTAACAAATAGCATCATTTTATTGCAAGAGTCATACCATTCAGGAGAACTCATATTGTTCGTTGTGAAATCAAATATCGGCTGGAAATTTCGGTAGGCTAAATTTAACATCAACAGCGACAACGATAGGCTACTAGGTCCCGCAAATGTTGCTAACTTCCTTTACTGGTTCAATTTAATATTAGGTAGGAGCAGACTACAAACGCAGTGCTTTTCTGTTCTGTGACGTTGCCAAAATGGGTGAAGCAAGCATTGAAATGGAACACTCCGAAATCCACTCACCCATCAGTTACTCAATAGCGGGGACTGTAGGCGGACTTTTTTCAGTAACTGTTGGTCACCCCCTCGACACCATCAAAGTCCGTCTTCAGACAACAGCAATCCTTGCCCAAAAGACCAAGTTCCGCGGTACATTTGACTGTATTATGCAGACTGTGAGAAAAGAAGGCGCGTTGGCTTTGTTCAAGGGTCTATCACCTCACTTACTTCTTTCCGCTCCAGTTGCGAGTCTGACGTTCTGGGGTTACGGAATGGGACTGAAACTTCAGAGTAAAGATCAGAACTTCGATGCATTGACCCCGGTGGAAATATTCAACGCTGGTTTAATTTCCGGCACTTGTGTGTCAGCCGTAGTCGTGCCATTTTATCTTGTCAAGTGTCGCCTTCAAGTTCAGCAATTGTCTAGTGCTAGTGCGCAATACAAGGGACCAACCTCGCTAGCTTTTCACATTTTTCGCACCAATGGCGTACGAGGGCTGTATAGGGGGCTCTCCGCAAATCTCTTAACGGCACCGGCAACAGGATGCTATTTTCTTTCGTATGAGTATCTAACGAGGGCGCTTCTTCCAGCGGGTACATCGCGCGATGATGTAGGGTCCCTTCCGGTACTTATCGCAGGAGGTATCGCTGGGACAGTCTGGTGGTTAGTAGGGCTTCCTGCAGATGTGTTGACAAGCCGTATTTGGACGGCACCCGAAGGGAAATATCCCAGGGGGGTTAGAGATGCGTTAAGAGAGTTAGTGCGGAATGAAGGCGTCTTTGCATTGTACAAAGGGATCGTTCCAGTTCTGCTAAGGGCTGCCCCTGAAGGGGCGGCACTTTTCTGGGGATATGAGATCACTTTGAAAGCAATTAACTGGATGTCAAAAACCTTATCTCCGACTTCAGAGTAAGGCACATTTACCGTATTTATTCTAGAGCACTTCTGGACGAAATAAATATCTGGCCTGAATTGCTCAAAGCATGGTTAGCTTTAACCATTGGTTTTGCAGTATCAGAACCAATACGTTGTCAAGGTATTAAACGTTGGTTAACGCCAACCATGCTTCGAGCAACTGGGCCCTTGCTGTTAAGTGCAAACTTGGGTGTCTAATGTTTTTGAACACTAAATGTCTAATATGTCTGAGAGTGTAGTGTAAATGCCCCATTGGTCAAATTTTCAATTCTGATAAGCGACTCATTTTTGAGCAATGAGATGTCTTTGATACATGTAGCCAGATACTGTCTGTCCTTTCCTATCACAATAGCTGTTAAGTGAAGCTGTATTTATTACACGTATTTATATAAGTAGTTGGAAATATTTATTTGAACTGTTCATCTGATTTGAATCCGGAACCTCTTCTCGTATGTAGAGCCACGTTCGGAATGGAGAATTAATATTTTACAGCTGCTTGTAATCCCACACCAAAAGGCACTTATATTCATCATAAGGGACGTACCATTAGAGAAACTATTGGGTGGGGAGGGTGGGTGACGTACAACAAATATTGATGCAAGGGAACATTTAAAAAAATCATGCACGCCAAGTAACTCAAAAAAATATTCGTGAACTGGCCTAAAATATTCCTAGAGGGGAATTGTTTACGGAAAAAAACCATGCGGCTCGAAAATCTCCTACCCCACACAACTTTTCTAATGGTCCGTCGCTAATACTAGAGTTACTGGTTGCCCAGTAGTCTCCATTGTGACTCATAAATAAGGATAATATTGCAAATAAACATGATAAAAATCCCAACTAAGTAGAGGCAAACCAGTTGCATGGCCGTATGTAAAACATGACCACAGAGGAAAACATCCCTTGGTTATGGTATGAGCAGTTTGTACCCGGGGAAACCAACAACCTCGGCTAGACCACTCGGCCACGTTTCGTCCTTCTGAAAAATGAGAGGGTGGTGCATATTATGAATTTGTCTGGAATTTTACGATGAGCAGAAAATTCGCATTGAATAAAGATGAGCTAAATTACTCAGAGAACCTCTCTTAAACTCAGCACGAAAAAAAGCTGGATATCTGCCTTTTATTAAGTGCGCCTGACCATATTTTTGGATGTAAAACAAACAGTAGGGGCTGTCAATGAAGGCAGAAGCTGAAATAAACAAAAAGCGCTATGCTGTGGCTAAGACAAATAAGAATTTTTCATCGACTCAGTCTCGAAAGAGGTTTGCGTTCGACGAAAGAGAACGCGTCTTAATGTGATGGATGTCCTGTGATTTCTTAGGTGTCATGTGTAATCGAAACACTCGCAACTTCGTGAATTTAGCGGACAAGCCCTTTTGGCTCCATTTTCGGACTGTGTGCAATCGCCTGCGCCTGCTCTAATAATCCATCAATAAGCCACCCAACTTTCGGCATTTTTGGCCTTCTAGAGAACTTAACATAGTAAGGACCATTACTCCTGCTCATCGCGTCATAAGGAGAATATTTACCACGCACCCGCAAAACCAAACGCTCGAGTATCTCTAAAGAAAATATATGAGAGACTTCTCAATCTAAATCGCTCTTGATCGCGTTATAAATCTTCTTGCAAATACAGCTATGAATGCAGTGCCCATCAGAAAAATCCCCACTCCGCTCCCACTCATAAACTTAGTAGCTCGAGTTGTGGTTTTCTCTGGCACAACTGTTACCTGCAAAATAAAATAAGAGTGGGGCTAGTTTTGGATATCTGTTGTAAATCAGACTTTCATCAAGCAAAACTTAATTTTTGAAAGATAAAGGGAAGTGAAACCAATCATCGACGTTCACAGGGTAGAAAGCAATGGCGGATCTAGGAAGAGGTCCCCCCCCCCCCTCTTATTTTAGACCAAACTAAGACCCGAAGGGCTGAAAAGATTTCTTTTTGGAGAAATGGGCCACTCTTATCTAAAAGTCTAGATGACCAACCCCCCGCCCCCCACCCCCCTTATCTCAAGGTCTGGATCCGGTACTGGAAAGAAAATATGAGGCCTGCATGCACTGAAGGATTTTCCTGGCAGACGCGCGAGCAGTAGAATTCTCTTGAGTTGCTTATGCCCATCAAGAAAAACCAAGGATGGTGACTCCAGACAACCATTCTTTCTACAACCACAAGCTAACATAACAGTATAATAGAAGCTGCAAGTTCCGAGACTACGTAAGAGGTCTTTGTGTAACAACACCTTGATTCTTTCTTCCATTTCCGTCGTGATTGGATCTCGGTTGGGGCAGGCAGCGTCAGCAATGACATCACAAGGAACTGAATAATAGATTGGCAGTCGCTTGATTAGCAGGAGTTACAATCCTGATTTGACTTATCACAGTGTCTTCATTATACACCACGGATTCGATATCTCAAAAGCTCAAACAAGAATGACTTACTTGGCTGATAGTAACAGTAGTATATACGGTTGTTATAAGGATCCTCTGATGCTCCATAAGGTGATATTCTGCTATGCGAATTAGTATTTTCTTGGTCTTCGTCGTCAAATTGAAGATATTCCGAAGTAACCTGTGTAGAGGAGAAAATAACCAGTTGACTTTACGCTTAAGTAATTAATGTACATATACAACAATATGCAATAACTTTCACGATGCAGCCCAAGATAAGGTGCTATTAGGAGAAGAATCTTTCAATCCCCAACCAATCAAATTTAACCTTAAACGTAACCGCTGGCCACCATGAGGGATCAGGCACAGTGAGAGAAGACTAACTCAATAATTGAATTTTTGTTGTTTCTCGAATCAGAAAATAATTGGAAGAATAGCTGACTTTATATATGATGATCTACAAAAGCTGCAGAAAACTCATTTTATCTAACTAGACAGTTGAACAGACAGTTTATATTACTCATTGTCTGGAACCAATTTTACCTCAAAATGTAATAGGCTCCTTTTCTCGTTCAACCTCGTCCCCAGGGCGCTTTTCCCTGGCTCCTCCAAAGCCATGGAAAAGCGCCCTGGGGACGAGGTTGTTTCTCGTTTATAGATGTAACAAGGAATTCGAATTTGAAGTAGGTGTGCTTTTATCTGTTTTATCCTGACTTAGCTAATTCAGTATCTTCTATCGGAGAATTAGAATTCACTAGAGTTGAATTTGAAGCAGAAACTTGCCTTGTGATAGCGGACTTGTTGGCATTCAGATGAACCATAGGCGATCAAATAAAACGGAGTTTTATACGGCAAGGAAATAGCAGCTGACTTCCTTCCCGATATGCTACAACAAAAATAAATCAAGGTATTTTGCCCATATATACCATCAGGAAGATCTCCTCCCAGAGAATTTGGGAAGTCTATTTTCGTGTTTTCATCATCCCATCGAATCCAACCTGAAACAATATTAAGAGATAAATCATAGGGCATGAAAGTTGCCTAAAGAAAATACAGTCAGGGGCAAGTTAAGGTCCCGGCAGGTAAACGCTTGTTTGGTTTGTTTTGTTTTGATTATTTTACTTCAATTTTAGTTATTTTTTAATTAAAATTTTGCAGTCCTTAAGCTTCTCTTACCGAGGACGAGCTATTCAAGCAATCTCATTTAGCTTATTACTTTTTTGAAAGCTTTAAAACGAATAAAATTTAATCGTTTTGAATAAGAAAATATAGCGAGCAGTATCAAATTGAAAACAGTCCCTGCTGGTATTCTCAATTTATCATTTTCAACGTACCCTCGCTTAAGCCAAGTGGACATTTTCCTTCTTTCTTATAAATGCAATACTTTCCCCGAGGCCATGGGATGGATTCACCTGCAGGTGTATCATGGTGCATACAGAATTCCTGTCTAACACCATGTTGGTTCACTCTTCCCGAGAGATGGCTTCCGTTCGATATCAAGTTCGTATTTTGAACATTTTCAGAGTCTTGATATCTAAAACCTTCTCTCCAGTTTTTATCAGGACATCCTGAAGTTGGCTTTGGGAGACCGTAGTCCCCTGATGGCCACTTATTAGGAAACACTGGTAAAGCTGAAAAGAAAAAGTGTGTGTCAGTACATGATAGTGGGAGAACTGTTGCACTTGGGTGAATCTTAGGGCGTTGGCCGGAATATGTGAAAAAGAGTAAAGAATCCTTATTTTACGACAGTAGCTCGAAATAGTCATCTGACTGAAAAACCTAAAGCCGAAGGTGCGCTCACTTTATACCTCTCCCCTTCCCCTCTCCATCAGTGCCCCGTCTTACGGGTATTTAAAGCTACTTCAATCCACCGGAAAGGAAAAAAGTCTTTGAGGTCACACCTGAGATTCGAAGTCGGGCGGGACCTCCCGCACAACATGCCGCGCACAAATTGACTGTGCTAATCCTGCCTTCCTGTCAGCTCTAGTATTCAAACGAATTCCCTCCAAATTCAGTCCAAAATAGTCTTTTCAAATTGTGGAATATCTTTCCTTGAGATCATTCATTTGGTGATAATGATAATGATTAATAACGATGATGATGATGATGATGATGATGATGATGATGATGATGATGATGATGATGATGAAAATGATAAGGATACAGCATGGAGAAGAAGATAAAAGGAGAGAGAAAGAAGACCCACCCGAAACAAGATGCAAATCGCAAAGGTCAAGCAAGTGAATAGCACGCTGTTAGTTTTCTCAGAAAATGGCAGTTTCCTACTTTTTCAAATACACCCACCTAGCCCATGCAGCAATGACGATCCTTTTTGAAGTGGTATTCCATCCAAAGTACCATTTTGTATCACCCAGAAAACATGACGAACACTGCTTCTTGCTAGAGCCTGGTTGTTAAATTCCAACTGAAAATCCACTGCGAGATTTCTGTGCACCGTAGAATTTTTAGTTCCCTCGAGTTTCCTGCACATGTAGGTTAAAGGCAAAATATCGTTGTTATCTCGCACAAAACGGTAATCTATTACCGAAGTTTCTCGATATATACGAGGACAAGTGAACAAGGAATTCCACTTTTCCAGTTTGACGTTGGCTCGGTAAAGTGGTCGTAATAACTTCATCAACATAAATACAACATCATTAACAACAACAACAACAATGATAATAATAATAATAATAATAATAATAATAATAATAACTGGCCAAAATAAGTTGATGACCATTTTTTTTTTTATCTTGTTTTAAAGTATTTTCAAGCTGATAACATATAATTACAATTTACCTTATCTACGTAGAGTTTCGTTAAACATTTTGCTTTTCCTCGGCAGTTTTCGGACCCGATTTTTTTTTTCGTACAGATGCAGTCCAAAGAGCAGACAACTTTCCAAATTAAAGGCTTCAAACACACTCGGATTTTTTTGTCTTTTGATATTTTAGTCAGTGGGCTGCTTCGTATTTGCTAGGCTTTCCAATCTGCCAACTATTATCTCAAGCTCTGGAGTGAACTGCATACGAACTTTCCTATTAATAGAAAAATTCTTATACGCATTTCACGTGATTCTTTCAGTTACAAAAAGCGCGGGCTTTAGCCCAATCAGATACGTTGAAATATCTTAAATGAACAGTAAATACAAGAGATGGCTCGAAGTGCGCGCTGTGGTTGGCTTTTCGAATGTAAAATACAAAAGTTACTTGAAAATGCTCCTATCAGTCAACCGGTTATAATATAAAGTAAACAAACAAGTGTCCTACCTCAATCGTATCACCCTCACATTTTGAAAATTAGAATCATTTTTAAAGGCCTCTCGAATCTTAAAGAATAAATAGAAATCAAAATGAATTTCTCTTTTAAAAGCTCGCCGCTTCTGAAAGAAAAAGGGGCATAAAAAGAAATTGTACATTTTATTACAATACCGTAATATAAACAATTTACGGGGAGGATTATGGTTAGATGGCAGTATATATATATATCTTGTGCTGTTCAAAGACTGGGAAGGGAAAGAACTAGGAAGACAGTACTATTAATTTGCTTACCGACTTCTCAATGTTTCCAACCAACATGTTATATTGCGAGCTTCCGGGCACCGCAACAAGATCTGTCCAATTTTTTCGGAATGTCACAGAACCGGGTAATTTTCTTCTTCTCGTTCCTGCCACTGAATGTTACAATTTTTTAGCAGTTTTAGGGCTAACGATAAACCCCACTGAGATCCTCCTATTAGTATGGTGCGACTCTAGTGTGATCATTTAATTAAGGGCCCGGTTCAGACGCCGCTCCACTCTTGTGCCGAACCTAACTGATGAATTAATATATGTACGGCAAAAGAGCGGCGTCTGAATCAATTTGGTACGGCAGTTTTAGTTAGGTGCGCCAAAAGTTCGACAGAATCTGTCGAACTTTTGTCGGACTTAACTTACACTCGACACACGGTGCGCCGTCTGAATCAGATGTCGCGCCACTGTCGCTCCAAAGTCGAACTTATTCTAATCAGTTAGGTTCGGCAAATGAAAAGTACGGCGTCTGAACCAGGCCTAAGTTACATTCTACTTAAAGATAATGGGTGAGAACGGAAAGAGAATTTCTACACTGTTATTGGTATTGACTAACAGGAATATTATCTGTACACGTAGCTATGCAATGAAATTAAAAGGTTTAGCCACCGGGGAACGAGGGGATTCTCTTATCTAAGGTATATGTAGGTCTGTGTGGCGTAAATGGTTTGGTCTGTGAGCCCACTTGTTCTGAAATTTGGTATGGATTTTAGCCATTGCGGTCTGAAATGGGGCACAGTTGGGTCTAGGTATGGCTTTAAAAAACGAAATTTTTCCTTTATTACACATGTATAGCTTAATTTCCTCAAATGGGCGCTTCGATAGTAATTCTAAGGCCCTCCTCTAAAAGGCTGACGCTGGAGCGGCCAGTCTAGTCTAAGATAGGGTATAATAAATTTTGTTTTGGTCTTGAGGTTCGAAATAGGGTGGGCAAAATCCCATATTTTGGTCTGAGATGGTTTAAGGTTTGCTAGAGATGCAACACCCACCCTTCCAATTCATATCTCCCGTTGCGAGAAATACCTCGGTGGTTTTTGTTTTCCAGAATAAAGACGCAAGCTCAAGTTAATCTTGCATGCGTGATATTCTGAAAAATGCTTTTTGCTCAGGCATGCTCCTTTATTAGAGTGAAATTGTTAATTCAGCACTATCTTATTTTGTAGCTAGATTTCTTGATTTTACACTAATAATCAATAATCACAGGCCATAAGTAGTATGGTTATGCCAGCCTGTTTTGGTTCATCTTACCCTCAAAGAAGTGGAGTTTGTTGTACACCAGTAGAGTGAAGACCATGAAATAGATTCTCATATCCACCAGGAAGACGCGTCATGGCTAGTAAGAAGTAAACTATAGACTGGTCTTTGTCCCTTGAATTCAACTTTGTTCAACGCAGGTATTTGCATGCACTGAGTCCAAGTTATGATGCTTGGTCGACCTTTGAGCGTGGTTTGCAAGGGCTCATCTACCTATGTAAAGCCAATTTACTACAAATTTCTAACTGGAATACACAAAGCCTTTCGTTGTGAGCCACACTGAGTGGATGTTTGATTTATAATATTCAAGCAAACTCCAAAGTGCTGGGGGCAGTGTTACTAGTCGGCCGGTGTTGTCATTTCGTTAGATTTTCTGCTTTTGGGCTAAAACTTAATTGTAAAACATAAACTGAGCCTGATTCTATTACCAGTCTTTATGGTTTCCACCCAATTGCCGATGGTTCAGAAATTAATGGATAGGAGCAGAATCAGGATGACAGAAACACTCGTGAAAGTTATTTGAAAGAAGCCATGTAACGAACCGTCTCGATTTGCTTTATCCTGACCCAAATACTGCTCGGTAAGGAAAGTACTCATCATCAAGAATAAATATTGTGATCAGATCTGACAGCAAAATAAATAATATTCTAGTAATGACTGGGTAGTGGTCGAAATTTTTAAAATTGTTTCTACTCATTCGTACCGTCTTCATGGATGAAATCACTAGTTCAACAAAAAACTAGTACTTGGTGATATTTCTTAAATCCGGAACTCGACAGGGTCTAAAAGAAGTTCCGATAAATCAAAAACTTGCGGCCCGAGCGACATTTAGCATTACAAACCATTAGTGACATTCCTAGCGCCTTTCATGGCCAATACTTGTCATTTCGCTTTCACGCACCTTTCAATGGTGTCGAGTTTTCAATTTGAAGTCAGTGTTTTCATCACTCTCCTCAAACACTGTGGCATCAGATTCGCCAGAGATGTACCATTTCATGAGACAAAATATCAGGTAATTTCTAGTGTCGAGTACGGAGAGCAAAAGTCCTCGTTGTTAATTATAAAAGACCAAGAACTTTCAAGACATGGGCACTCTTGGAAACAGATTGTTACCACGGTTCAGTACTTCCATGGTTGCCGTTTTGATAAAACCAAGCAGGTTTGTGAACAGCGGCGACAAAAAATACAAACACTGTTGACACCAACTGCTCTTCGGGTCCAGCTAAAGAACACCGTTTTGACATACATACTTTTACATACTTTTATTGTAATTAAACAGCGAACTTTGTCCTACGCCATGAATACGTTTCTATGAAATATAATGCTTCATAAATATCTATTTCTTTCCTTTTCTTTGAAAAAGTTAAACAAACACATTGAACGTGAAAAAAGGAGATTTGTAATTGTTTATATGATAGCAGTAAATGCTTGGGTAACTTCTTGAAAAAGAAAGCAAAACGCGAAAACATATATAAATGGCCCGTTTACTGAATCGTAACACAATAGCTGCATGTTGGAAAGGCTTTTAGTTCAAGCAGGTGGATTTTCAAGACCTCCAGTATACCGATCCAAATTCCCATTCTATCACGAAAATCAAATCGCAAAATTCTTTTTTTTTTTTCTTCATTTGAAATACGTTAATTTTGGGAAAATGACATGAATATATGTCAGCGAAGTCTTAACAGGAATTTGCTGGCTCCCTTTTTCATGTGCTCTAGAGAGACGCTGGAACGAGCTTGGTATACGCCTCTTTATCGCTTGAAATACCATGAATGTCAAATCAGTACATAATTCTTTTCTGCCCCTACACTCGTAATACACTCAGTAGTAGAGAGGGAACTGTCAGTATTTCACCATGCTCAGAAAGTTTCTTTCAATTTACTGATACAAATATCGTTATATCGTTGAAACTGATTATGCATCGCTTTAAAATTAGGATAAATTTAATGCTGATCAATAGTGCAACCGAATTGAAATGTTGCAATTTCGCAGTTTCTCAGCTATGAATTAAACGCTGCATTTTATCAATAGTCGATTATGGACAATAAGACAGATCAACGGTACATAGGTATTCCTTCCATGCATAAACCTGAGATATTAAGAGAATTATCCACAGTATATAATAACTATATACTAAACGAAGAAGTATATTTCCTAATAAACAAAATTCCAGCATATCAGGGCTATGCTAGTTATTCTTACGATTTAAGAAACGAATGTAAAAGTTTATTGCTGGAATAAAACGTGGAACCCCGTGATACCTAGGGTGAAAACTCTTTTAAAATTTCCTTCAATTGTGCTTGTGTTGAGCAGTGGATTTTTGTGACTCTGTTTCAAAGTGCTCAGTGATTGTTCTTGGAAAAACCCACTCTGTTCCAGAGAGAGTTAATAACAAATTCTCTTTGGTATCTGACTCAGAGTGTGCGAGAGTATCAGAGACCGGATGGGTCCCCCTCCACAAATTTTCCAATAACTGGGGTGAGGAATGTCATTAATTTCGTTAAAAATGCATCTGGTTCGTTAAATTTAAAACATCAATCTAGCTGTCTTACATTTCTAGAAATTAACAATCGAAGAACTCGTAACAAAAATATGCGAAAGTCGCAGGCTACGTCAGGGTAACGTTGATTGTCGGCTCCCTCCGTTTGAGTGAAAGAGTCAAAAATCGAGAGGAGAGTACTAGAAATAGGAGGAGTAACATCAACGAAGGTTTGTTCAAAGGTTAAGGAAAAGTGCACTTTGACTTGACTATTTTGGGGAAAAAACGGTGAGTACATCAATGAGTATATCGACAACTACACGAGAAAAGAAAACTGAATCTGCCGATGGTGGTACAAGTGTTAAAGAGACATGGTAAAGTGCGAAATTTGCTAGGGATGTTATTAAGAGTCGCCAACAAGTTAGTTGAAGCCATCCGGGGATGGAAAGGACAAAGCTGAATGAAGTATTTGCGCATTCGCGTTTTAACAACCTTTTTAGGACTTGTTCCATGATAACGTTAGTCTTCAATACACTAAACCGGGACTAAAGTGCAAACGACCTGTTTGTTCCCAGGGGAGGGGTAGGCGCCGGGGGTGGTCGGGTAATTCGGATTTCAAGTGACGGGGATGATCGAAGGACATTTTGGGTTTGAAATTTTTGATTCTGGGATTTTTTTGGGAAGGAAAATAGGGCAAGTATTTTTTGGGGTAGCGGTAGCCGGATTTAAGTAGGGATTTTTTGGGGGTATTCAAAACAATTTGAAGATTTGTGGTAGTGCCCGCGCATCCCGGCCGCGTAGTTCTGCGAATATAGTAGAACCAAATAAAGTACATGTTACACCATTTAATGTTTTCTGGAAATTTTTAAGGCTCGGAAGTACGGCATGGGATTTTTTGGTGTTTAATTTTTGTCCATGGATTTTTTGGGGGTTTTGTTGGAAGCCCCAGGGATTTTTTTTTGGGGGGGGGGTTGATTGCCCTAGGGATTCTTTTGGGTTTTGATTGTTGCCCCCATTTGAGCATCCCCGTCACTTGAAATCCGGAGTACCCCCTCCCCACGCCCCCCACACCTGGGCTATTGTTTTAGGCTAATATTTACTATAATTTAATTGTTTGAAATGTTTGTATTCATGTTTGAACTGCTTTTTACGTAAGAGAGCCTCTCTCACGCTGTTATAGATATCTGTAAACAGATGATCATCAAAAGAACCGATTGTTTTCTTAACCCCATTGCTCTACGGGTACCAACAGTCGTTCTCAGGTGGCCGCATTCAGGTTTGATTAGGCTAGACCGCAAGTGGACAAATATCGACTTAACTTGCAAATAGTGACGGCTACTCAACAAAGCATAGGGAGCCCGCACAATCTGTTTGTGTAGCCGATTGTTATTTTATAGTAAATGTTCTGGATTTACCGTTTGCCTCACCTATAGCGATATGTCGCTAACTATGTATATAAATCAATGATAAATAAACGTTGAATTACCTTACCTGTGGTATATAATCGTCCTTTTACCTCAAAAGCGGTTTTTTGAGCGATTTTGAAGGAGTTTGAATTCACCGTTGACTGTTCCTTATACTAGAACGACCTTCTATTATAAGGAACAGGCAACGGCGAAATCAAACTCCTTCAAAATCGCTCAAAAAATCGCTTTTGAGGCAAAACGACGACTATATACCACAGGTAAGGTAATTCAACGTTTATTTATCATTGATTTATATACATAGTTAGCGATATATCGCTATAGGTGAAGCAAACGGTAAATCCAGTACATTTACTATCAAATAACAATCGGCTACACAAACAGATTGTGTGGGCTCCCTGCGATCCTTTTTGATCGTGAAGAATACATGCCTCTATATCTTTTTAATCCTTTGCTTAAATTTCATTAAAAGTGCCACATTTCTAACTATGAAGACGCCACCACTGGTTCACCCCGCAAAAAGCCGTCTGAAAAACGACTGCAGAAATTAACCAATCCGGGAAGTGCTTCTGATTGGTTGAAGCAAATTACCCTTCCGGCACGACCAATCAGAAGCCCGCATCATCATGGAACTTCTGCAGTCGTTCCTCAGACATCATCTCGTGGGGAAACCAGTAGTGGTGTCGCCAAATCTTTTCTCAGGCTATCGTTTGAGTGGGATAAAATTCTTCCACATGAGCTTACATATAATGCTGTCATTACCAAATCACTGACTTTTTTCATTCCTTGGGGTGGAAATTAAGATAATGGGAATGTTTCTTAATTAAGAGGTACTAGTTGCTCGAATTGATTCGCACCTAGGACTCTGACTAAAGGAATTCAGGGCTGATGACCATCGACTCCAACCCAACACTCCGTTTGGAGCCGAAGACGACGTTGAAAACAATGAGAAAGTCGTAGAGGAATCCATCATCTAGATTGCTGAGTCTTATGACTGAAACTATTATAAATTGATGGGCAAACTTTCAAGTCCACCTGATTCATGTGAGCTACGTTTGACTCACTCAATTGTCAAATGATTGAATGAGCTACATATGAGTGAATTGTATTTCGCAATAGTTCTTTATGCCGTCAAATTGACTTTTACTAGCTATCAGT